CCCCAAAACCCCAAAACCCCAAAACCCCAAAACCCCAAAACCCCGTATAGACCCAAAGAGTTGAATATTTTACTTAAGAGTTAGCTATAGGAGCTAAATATCTTCTTCCAGTACTCTACAGGAAAGATCCTTCTATGTTCTTCAGTCTCTTTCTCGATTTGTTGCATTACTGCTGTCTGTCTGTTCTCTTCATCAACTGATTGTTCTAAGAGTTTAGATGGAATTTTACCTGAAATTTGAGACTCTTCATGTGATTCTTGGTCGGAATCATTAGAATTTTCTTTTACTTCTTCCAATGATTCTAGCATTTGGTCCATTGGGTGAACAACCTCAGCTCATAAATGCAGTCTAGAGTTGAAGAGGAAGCTTACCTTGTTCTTGAGTTCCAGCTTGGGAATAACTGAGTGAAGATTTCTGGTTCGTAGAACTCATAAACAATATGTAAGTTTGTTTCATTTCTAATTTTTATAGGAATTTTTGAAAAGATATAGAATAAATCATCTCTTAGAACCATTGATCCAATCCAAATGTATGCATCTGATTCAAGCATGAATAAATATATTCCCTTCTGGTGCAAAGTGAGTTGATCAAAATTTAAGATTTCTTTAAAAATCAAGTTTTCGTTCTCAACTCCATGTCTTCTTTCATCAATTAATGCTTCAGAATATTTAGGGAATAGTCCACTCTGGTAAAGACAATATCAACGAGGGAGAGTTGGGAGAATCACATTCTGAGTAATCAACTTGGATTCATAATCAGGCATTTCAATATCAATTTCTCCTTCTTTAGTTAAGATCTGGGTGAATAGTTCAGTCTCAAGTCCTTGTAAGATATAATGAATGTTCTTTTCATCACTAATAAGTTCGGATGCTTCTTCCTCATAAATATAATTGAGCTTTCTCATCATTTCATCAGACATGAGATATTTTGTAGTTGTGTATTTTGCAAAGTAGTCTTTTCCTATCCAGTAAAAAATGTGGTCATCAGCAAACATAATATAAAGTCCAGTAGTAGATAAAGAAGCCCATTCTACAGGAACTTCAACAGCTTTCTGGTTGATATATGGTACTCCAATAAGCTGATAAAGCATTACATTCCCAAATTCATTGTCAGTTCCGTATTTAATGAAGTCATAGGATCTAACAACCATTGACCCAGAGAATAAAGTTGTAAATGCATGAGGCTCATTGTCAGCAGTAACCATTGATCTCAGAGATACGACAGAGTTTTCATTATCAACTAGTGGAAGTATGTTATCAATGTTATCAGAGTCACCTCCTTTATCTGAAAAATTACGTAGTGGGGTGAGAATCTTCTTGATTCCAAGTACATTTGAAGTCTATAAATGAGTAATAAACATATTTACTTCTTCCTCTGCTTCCATTCCAAAGCTTTCTAATTTAGCTGCTTTTCCAAAAACAGTGACTCTCTTTTTTAAAAGAGAAGAAGGCTTATTGACAAGCATTGATCCTTTCTTTTGGTTTATTCTTCCACTATTTTTATCAGTCTTGATTTTCATTTCCTTGAAGGATGTATTAATGAATTTTCCAATGGCATTTTTAGTGACATTGAGTCCATCTTCTCCTCTCCACATGAAAACAGCATAGTTTGACTTAAACCCCAAACTTTTGGAGTTAGTTACATTTTTATGGACAACAATGAAGTAAGACATATTACGCTCAAAGATTCCCTTCTCAAGGTCACTTTTGTATTTGGAGTACTTAGATCCCTGAATTTCGAATTGGAAAATCCTGCTTTTGGCAATCTTTCTTCATTCTAGGCCAATATCTCCTGGTAAAGTACAGAAGATTCTTTCAGGCTTGTATTTCATCAACATTGATTTAATCATAACTCCTTGGTCTAAAGTAAGTTCAACCTCTTGGTTCTTCTCCATTTGGCTTTTCTGAGCTGAAGAAATATCTACATTGACAAGACTAGAAATTCCTTTAGTGTTATGCTTCTTTGTCACAGAATTTTTGAAAACTTTAAGGTCTTCTTCCGTAAAAGTTTTGGTTTTTCTTTCCTCATCTGTGCTATTTTTCTTCCCGAATTTCTTCAAGCTTAGAGAGACGACCTGTCATTGTCATCCATCTCGGATTGTTTGCGGATGAAGCTCCTCGGGGAGTGTAATGAGAATTTGCTCTTAACATCAGGTATGGAAATTTCACTTCAGTCCAATTCTTAAATAGTTTCTGGAACCTTGATGGTTCAGAGTTCTTAAAAATTATTTGAAGATTTGGAGTTCCAAGATTTTGTTCCTCATCTGTATAAGATGGATAGAATGTCAATGGGATACTTCTCACTTCGTATGAGAATTTCCTAAATATGGATATTGAACCCTTTATCATCCAGTTTTCTACTTTCTGACCTATCCACAAGTAGATAGTATACGGGGAAGACACAATAAAGATCTGGTTGCTGTTGACTTGCTGATTATCAAAAATATCAAGATTTGTTCGTATGAATACGATCTCATTCTGGTTCTCAAAATCTTTGACAAGGAGGTCGGCTTCCTCCTCAACATCATCCTCGTATTTCCTCTTTATTCCTTCTATCTGTTTGATTATAGACCCTTCTGTTAGGGGCGTGACACTAACTCTGTAAATGCTGAGTTCATCTGGATCAAAGACATCTTCTGTTCTTTGGAAATTGATCTCCATATCATTTTCTATATCAAACTTCACATTTTCATAATCTTCAAAAGTTTGATCTATCTCGTCTGGAGATTTGAGCCTCCAGTGAGGGTTGTTCATGTTGAAAACAAGACCAGAAGAGATATCCTCATCATATTGCTGATCTATGTCAATGTTTTTGTCTTCTTTTGGCCAAAGGGATTCTAAATTCTGCATTCGAGCAGAATCAGCATCTATCCTCTCCCAAAATTCATCTCTATCTTGAGTCTCAAAGGTAAGATCTGGGTTGAGTTTGATCATATCTAGCAGGTAAATATTAACAAATGTGAGTAAATCCTCCGAGAAATCATTAGATTTCATGATCTGAGAATAGGAATGGTTCTTTCCCTTCCCTGCTGATTCATTATTTTCTTTCTTCACAGCCGACAAATCTTGTAACTCTGCAATTCCAGTTTCAAGGATTATTTTGTTTTGATCTTTATCATAAAATAGGTACAAATTATCTGAACTCAGAGCTGTCTCTGCTAAAGGAGCCGATTCATAAATTCTAAAGAAGGCTTTACTGCTTTCATCTTTGGTATTAATCTGCTCAAATCATAATATCTTTGGATGGACTTTCACTTGTGTGACATCAAAGTACTGGATAGCATAAAAATGCTCCTTTGCATCCTTAGTCATTCTTCTAAAATTACTCAAGAATTGTAAGCTTTCATTATACTGGTGCTCTATAAAAATGCTCTTCTGGTCTTTAACAACCCAGAGGCTATCAATTAATAGCCGGTAGTTGCGCTCATATTTTTCGCTTTTGGCTCCAATCCAAAAATAAATATTATGCGACAGGACTTCAATATCTCAGTGGATATTATTTCTTCGTATCTATTACCAAGTAATTTGACTTGGAGTCGAAACTTGGGATACTCTGCAGACCCTGAGAAATTTCTAGGATATGGCTCCCATGGGTCCTTTCGAAGAACTGGAAGAAGTAGAGCTTCTCCTTGTTCTTCCACTCTTTTGTGAACTCGTTCTCCATCATGGAATATTTATTACAAAAAATAAAGCTATTGGGGTTTTGGGGTTTTGGGGTTTTGGGGTTTTGGGGTTTTGGGG